CCAGAGCAGCTAGCTCCGCCTCTGGGTATTTCCACTTCTTTCCGTTAGGCATTCATTCATCTCACACTTTCAATGCATTTGAAAAAAAGAAAAACCTCAGAAATATTTTTAGAAAACGTGTCTAAAGAAAAATTTCAGCTTGGCTTTTGAAAGAATGAATCAACCTGTCTCTGCAGTGTGAGTGCCTCTAGCATCATGGTCATGCTTCAATTTAAGGGGGACCCTGGAACCTCCTGGAGATGCCATTTTTTCCATCATGCTGCTTACCTTGTTCATTCACAACCATCCTTTAATTAAAGTGTGGCTGTAATATCTCTGTGAATATTTTTTTGGGGAGAAAAGTTGTTAATTACATGCCCATCAGAATAACGGAAAGGGTAATTATCCTCATTGTGCTTTGTGACATTGAAACCTCTATTATTCCGTGATCAGAGCCGCATAATTATAGATAATTGCTGCAACTGTATTGTCTGCTCAAATTTAGCCCTACAATAATTACCGTATTTTAATTAAACATGTTTAGGATTTAAAAGGAATCTCCTCCCTCCCCCACTGCCCTTCCCCACTGAAGCAGAAACTCTGTTTAGATATTCAAAACAATGTCATCTGCTAACTATCTAGTGGATTTGGGACATTTTGGATATTGATTTTTGGATTTTTTTAGGCTAACAGGATCTTGCTAGCACAGAGGGACAGTCAGAGCAGGATATGAAATAAATAAGCACCTTCACACAGTAAAATTTGTTGTTATATCTTGGTCAGTTGTTTAACTGTAGGATTGGAAACAAAATCTCATTACATCCCCTCATTCTTCTTTGTGCAGGTGCAGTGGTTATTCCCAGCTGCAGTGGAGAAATACGTGGAATCAAATGGCTGGTCGGTCCAAGTACTGAGAGACTGCAGAAGAAGTGGTAAAACTGTACCCAGGCTGTACCGCTTTGTACTGCTGCATGACTGAATGAGAGGAAGCAAGCTCTGCATATGGCAGCAGAGTGTTACTGGCATCTGTCAGGGCCTCCGTTCTCTGATTCAGTTGCAAAGTCATGCACTGGGCTGTTGCTTCTCTATCACTGGAAGGCACATTTGAAAATTTAATGCAAATTTAAAAGTGCTGGCAAAACAGTGCCAATATCTGTTGCTGTCCTGGCATAGGAGCGTGAGGCTTGGCCACACCACCTTAACATGGCCATGTAACGTTTTCATGTTAGTCTGCTTACTGTGAGAGGGTAATGGGGTAGTCTTTGGCGTTCTGTCACTTCACAAGTGAGCACAGAAACACATCATTATAAACTTCCCAATTTATAGACTATAATCTATATTTTATCATGAAAAGCAGGTAACAACCCAAGAGGTAAGACAGATAAAGTTACTTTAAATGCAATACTTTCACAGTAATTTCCATTTCTAGAGAACTTCAATTTGCCAGTACAGAAAGAAGTGCTATTTGAAAGCAGAATGCAGAGACCTCAATGCATATTTTATCCACTGGGATTTTCTTCAAGGAATGAAATTAATCTGTTAGGTGTTTCTTTAATTTTATTAAAATCTGGGCTACCATTTGATAGGAAAATATGGAGTCTTATGTGATTGGGGGGGGGCAACTTTTCCTATATTAACATTTCTGTTAAATGTTAGGATATATATATATCTATATATATATCTATATATATATCTATCTCACCTCCCCTCTTTTTGCACATCTTACCTAAATCTAATACAATTTAAAAGTAAAACTATAATAGCCAATTCCCTGAGATGGCAGAGAATCCTTTGCTTCAGGGCTGAAGTGTTGCACCACAACCCTGCAATCAGGCTAGGCATACTTTATTACTCTGGGGCATATGAGACCCCTAGCAGTGCCACTATTTGCCACATTGTTTGAGGCGGGAAGTGAAGCTTGCTGGGAGGAGATCACACTGTAGTTCTTCCACATGTGACCATTAACCTTTTTTTAAAAAGTGTTAATGTTAGAGTGTGTGTGTGTGTGTGTGTGTGTGAAGATGCAGTGTAGACCATGGCTTCTTAAGGATCTCCTTCTTCCATATTTGCCCCCATATTCTCCATTTAAAATCCAGGGTTTTTACATTTTTATTTTATTTTATGTATTTCTTCAGGGACAGGTGTTGGCACACCAGCTAAATCACTGACTTACATTACTCACATAGCTTGCCATTTCAAAACCCACTGTGGGCTTGAGTGCTGACACTCTACAAGATCTACATTGGCTCTCAGTACGTTTCCGAGCACAATTCAAAGTGTTGGTGCTGACCTTTAAAGCCCTAAACGGCCTCGGTCCAGTATACCTGAAGGAGAGTCTCCACCCCCATCGTTCTGCCCGGACACTGAGGTCAGCACCGAGGGCCTTCTGGCGGTTCCCTCACTGCGAGAAGCCAAGTTACAGGGATCCAGGCAGAGGGCCTTCTTGGTAGTGGCACCTGCCCCGTGGAACGCCCTCCCACCAGATGTCAAAGAGAACAACTACCACCAGATTTTTAGAAGACATCTGAAGGCAGCCCTGTTTAGAGAAGCTTTTAATGTTTAACAGACCATTGTATTTTAATACTTTGTAGGAAGCCACCCAGAGTATAAATAATAAATTATTATTATTATTATTACTGGGACGGGTAAGACTGCCACTGTATGGGGTGATGCATAGAGAACCACTTCCTCTCTCTCCAATTGCTGAGCCTCCCTTGCCTTTAAGCAAGGCTGCTTGATATGTACAGCTATGATCAGTCTACTGTGGTGGGCATGGATGCAAGGTCACAGAGAGTACACAGACATGGAGTAGAAAGATAAGGCTACAAAAGGGAGAGTTTGCCCAACTGTGAAGGGTAGGCTATTTCTCAGCTCACCATGCTAAGAGATAAGACAGTCAACAGCTGCAGCAAATTATTCACACAGAGAGAATCTAGGACATTGCAATAGGCACAGGTGTCCTCCATCTTAGAATGTCCATGGGGTAGCAGCACAGAGTTCACAACTCAGGGAAAAAGCAGCCACGGGGTTACAGATATTTCTTTTCCCTCTCACAAATGGAGGATTGATTTCTGTTGCCTCTGTTTTAGGTACTTCATTTTCCCTCCAAAATTATTGAGTCTAATTCATTAATTGGGAATTTGATTTTCAGCCCAAATGGAGACTAATGTCTGCCTTTTAAACTAGCAGTAACTAATGGCACATGAAAATACATTTACTAAAATCTAAGAGGTGAGTAATCACAACCGCTTAAAAGAGCTGCCAACACCTTCAGCCCTCAGAGGAATTTCTGCTTGTTTCATTTAGGCGGGCAATAATTTCTTCATGGCTGCAAATGAAAACTCAAAGTGTCTGTGAGTGAAAGCTCATAATTTTCAACGTACTCCTTTCATACAGGTTTCATGAGTATCTTGATCAGGCTCACATGGATTAATTTAATCTAAGATGTACATTAATTTATATCTGCAACACCTTTGCAGCACCTTAGGGCCAATGTACACTCTATAGGCTATTTTTAAGCATCCAAGCCAACCCTTATAAGTGAAAGGAAGAGATATACATTCTGTTTGTATGCATCATGGTCTGCTAACTATAGAATTTCTACTGATTAATCTTTGGCCTGTTATTTGGTTATTCTACGCTGTGATCATCCCATTAGTCACAGCATGTGGCATATCTTCCCACATGTGTCAGTAATGTACAGTCCTGGCCTTGGCTGGCAATGAATAGACGCTCTTCCCACACAATGCAGACAAGTTAGGACTTGCTTCCACAGGAGGCAGTGATGGCCATCAATTTGGATGGCTTTAAAAGAGCATTGGACAGATTTATGGAGGGGAGGGCTATCAGTGGCTACTAGCCATGCTGGCTGTGCTCTGCTTCCACAGTTGGAGGCGCTATGCTACTGAATGCCACTTGCTGGAGAGCCAGTATGGTGTAGTCGTTAAGAGCGGTAGACTCGTAATCTGGTGAACCGGGTTCGATTCCCCGCTCCTCCACATGCAGCTGCTGGGTGACCTTGGGCTAGTCACACTTCTTTGAAGTCTCTCAGCCCCACTCACCTCACAGAGTGTTTGTTGTGGGGGAGGAAGGGAAAGGAGAATGTTAGCCACTTTGAGATTCCTTCGGGTAGTGATAAAGCAGGATATCAAATCCAAACTCTTCTTCTTCTTCTCTTCTTCTGGAAACCAAAGGATTGAGAGTGCTCTTGTATTCAGATCCTGCTTGCAGGTTTCCCTCAGTCATCTGGGTGGCCACAGGAAGCTGGGCTAGATGGGCCATTGGCCTGGTCCAGCAGGCTCTTCTGGTGTTCTTATGATCTGTTGGGAGTTCTTGCTTCAATCAAAGGGATGGACCAGATGGCTTCAAGGCCGCCTCCAAATCTATGATCCCATGTTTTATTTATTTATTTATAATTTATTTACAACATAGTCCACAACAACTCATACATACAAACAAACAAACAAACAAACAAACAAACAAACCCACCACCATTGACAATTATCAAAATTAAACGCCTGTCCCCTTACACAAAGAAAACATAGCATAAAAATAAAAGACACCATTATCCTGGAAATGGCCTCCTTATTTACTTCTTGTATACTGTTTCTTTTGTATGTGATTATTACAATTTTTCGTAATTATGACTTTAAAAACCACAAAGTCTCCTGTAGAAATTAATCAAAACAAGTCCAGGTGTATACTTTGGGGCACTGTTTGGTAAAGTATTATCTGCATTTCCCCCATTCTTTTTGAATTCTTGTCCCAACCCAGATATGATCCCATGTTATTAATATTGTTGCTATCTATGTCAGAACTGCTGCTATAACAGGTCTTGTTTCTGGTGTGCCCCACAAGGTGGCCTTGGAATGCCTGCTCCTGAGTTCGAAAACCTGAGAAGCATTTTGACCCTGAGAATATGCAGTGTGCATCTCCTCACACCTGAATAACCACATATTTAGGTTCAGGGGATAGGACTCCTCTATATGAGCCTTAGCTTCTTCCTTCTTCTCTCTTTACAGTTAAGTCCTGCATTGCCAGATTGTCCTACCGGATAACTGGGATTCTCTCAGCTGCTTTTGGACTCACTGCATTCATCCACAAGAATCTGCTTAATTTTTTCCTTTCCTCACCTGCAGCAGTGTGGTGTTCATGTTTGTACTGGAGAGCAGCAGACAGCATAAAACAGCAGCAAGAATTCAGGTATTGTGAAAAGGTCATTCTTTATGATGCCTGCAAGGTATATTTCTACTTTTCTGAGTGACAGTTTTGTTTCTTTTTTCTTTAGGGAAAAAAAAAGATTTGAAGTTCAAATCTGTGAAAGGTCTGTGGGAAATGTATATGAAATGTCTGTTTTTCATTTCTCCCTGAAAAGTCTGATTCTTTACAGGGAGATTAAAAGTATGCTATTTCATATTTTTAATTGTGTGGGTTGTGCGTGAATACATTAATCCGTTAAAGCTGACATTCAGCAGCATGCTGCCTCAGAAGATAGTGGAGTCTCCTTCATTAGAGGATTTTGAGCAGAGTCTGGGTGGCCAGAGGTTGCCTATCAGAAATGCTATTGAAGTGGGTTTCCTGTATCTGCAGACAGTGGATTAGAAGAACTTTGGGGTCCTTTCCGACTCTATGGTAGTGTGATGCATAAAATCAGGTTTCCCAAACCAGATCATTGAGAGACTCCAACTAGGCTGGACAAGCATAGCTTAGGGATTCTCTAACACATCTGGAGATGAACTTCCGCAAGTTTCAGCAGAGAGAGCATGGAGTGGAAGGAGGAAAGAGGGGAAGAAGCAGAGGGATGTTGTTGATGATAACCATCAACAGGTATCATTTCATCCTTGTCTATGGTTCTTTACAAGAAGACACAGGGGTGCATAGACCATTTCTCCCATGGCCTAAAGGAATATGTTCAGGCCTGTTTCTGTGACACATTGCAGAAGCAGTGTGTGTGTGTGTGTGTGTGTGTGTGTTTCCCACTAGGAGAAGGGATGTATTGGGCCCTGTGTACATCCTGCCCTCCCTCACCAGCTGATCAGGGCTCAGAACACAAGTGACTTGGAAGGCCCATAGAGAAGAGGAGGGGTGGTTATGGATATGGGCGGGGGGTTGTAAGCAGTCCTCCTATTTCTCTTGCTGGTCAGCCATATCCTTTGTTAGGAAATTTTCATATTAGGAGTCAAGGATGTCTAGGAAATGGAAAGGTCTCTTTGCAGCAAGAGCAGGAATCCCATAACCCTCAACTTCCATCAGTTCCAGCCTACATGGCCAATGTTCAGGGGTGAAGGGAGGTGTAATCCAGCAGTATCTGAGGGCCACAGGTTCCCAGCTTTGTGAACCAGCTGCTGAGCAGGACAGTGCCAGCATCAACTCTGGAGGCTGACAGCCATTTGGAGAATGTGGCTCATCTTCCCTAACCCCCAGCCAAAGGGTGGGTTAAAAGCATTTGTGTTAAAGAAACTAGACTTGAGAAGACATGTGGGGGTGGGGAGAGCAAGATGGGATTCGGCATCTTTCAAGGAAAAGGGACCTGGCAGTAGAGGTGCAGGTTCTGTTTTCTGGGGATCTAGTGTGGTAGCAGGTCTGCTTCCTGCTAGTAGTGCTTCCTCCTTTGACATACTTGAATACTGTGAATAAATCAAATATCTCACAAAGAAGCTGGGTCTCTAAGGACTTCTGGTAAAACTACTATGGTAGAACCCCTTGCCATTTGGGGAAGGGGGAGCACATCACCCCCTTAACATCTGATCATGTTTACTGTGTGCATGGGCCATGGGTCCAAGTAGATGGCGAAAGTGGGAAGCAAGGCTGATTTCATCCCACTGGAATCTTATGCACATGCGTGGTGCACCTGTCACGTGTGTGGGTTTGCCCTCAGTGCTTCGGATTATTTGCAATGTTTGTTTAAAAGCTATTGTTTCTCTTCTCAGCTTCCTTCCCGTCTTTTAATTAGCATGTTCCAGCTGTGCAATTCAGAATATCATTGAATTCCACAGGCAGCCTGGTTGCAGCCTTTAACTACCCTGAGGGTTTAACATATGGTTTGTTAGGAAACAAATCTGGCATTATTGACAGATAGGGAAGACACGCTGCAGAAGGTTGCAGCAAGAGCACTTCAACGTGAGCGAAATCCAAAATAGTTGCTAATGATTACAACATTGCAAGGAAGCCTAGATCTAAGACCTTTGAAAGTAGCATGGACACCATGGATGAGGCTTTCTGTCTTTGCTAGAGATTGAGAAGGTATTTATTTTGTCCGCTTTTCAGAGCAGACCAACCCAATTCAACAAGGACAGAGGCTTTTTTCTTTCTTTCTGATGCATGTGGAAAACCTTTCTTCCGCCCCCTTTCCCCTCTCTACTCTCACATACTTTGTGTATGTCTGTCCCTAATGTCAAGTGCAGTAGATTTGTTCTTCCTTTGCCCAGCCATCTGAAGTCACTAGGAATTGCAGCTGGGTTGGTGGAAGGTCTAATGAAGAAGTCAAAGCAAAATTGTTCAGTCTTGTTGAGGATTTTATACTAAGAGCACCGACAGGGTTTCTGTTGCTGCAGTTGTGGAGCTTGAGCAGTTTTACTCAGTGTGTAAAGCTTTCTGGCTTCTGCCATGGTAGTATTAATTTTTAAGTAAATGTACTCTGATAAGATTATGGCAGTTTCACAGCCTGATCCATTCTATTTTTCTTTAAAGCCACAAAGACCATCTATGGGCCAATAAATCATGGTATATGCCCCCTATGCTCAACAGACGGTACCACACTTCTAAAAGATAAAGAAGCTATTGCACTGCACTGGAAAGAACATTACCAGCAACTCCTTAACTGCAACACCCCTGTAGCTGCTGAGGTCCTCTCACAAATTCCGCAGATAGCTTGCAGTATCTCCAAATCTGGGAGAGTTGTGTACAGCTATTAACCAAATGAAAAACAATAAAGCTAGCAGACCTGATGGGATACCTGGCGAAGTCTTCAAAGTGGGTGGAATTGAACTTACAAAACAATTTCACAAGCTCATCGAGGACATTTACAGGGAAACAAAAATGCTTGTTTACAAAGCTATGGTACTACCAATCTTACTGTACGCTTGTGAAATGTGGACCACTTATAAACGCTATCTCCAACTCCTTGAAAGATTCCATCAACAGTGTCTCCAAAACCTTTTACATATCATTTGGGAAGAAGGCGAACTAATGCCAGTGTACTGTAAGAAGCAAAGATCACCAGTGTCAAAGCAATGATTCTGCAACATCAACTTCGTTGGACTGGTCATGTTGTGTGGATGCGTGATTATCATCTGCCAAAGCAACTACTCTATTCCGAACTTAAAAATGGATCACGTAAAGAGGTTTAAAGACTCTCTCAAGGCAAATCTAAAAAAAAATGTAGTATAAGCACCGACAACTGGGAAACATTGGCCTGAAAGTGCTCCAGCTGGAGAACAGGCTTTACCAAAGGTGCAATGGACTTTGAAAATGCTTGAACTCAGAATGAAAGGGAGAAACACGCTAAGAGGAAGACATGTTTGGCAAACCCTCACCGTGATCAGCTCCCGCCCAGAAACTTATGTCCCCACTGTGGAAGCACGTGTGGATCCAAAATTGGCTTCCACAGTCACTCATGGATTCACTGTTAAGACCGTGTTCATGGAAGACAATCTTACTCGGCTACGAGTGATCGGCAAAGAAGAAGAATAATTTTTCTTTGGGAATAAGCCTTCCTGGGTTCAAACATGGGGCTTTACTTGAAAGTAAATGTGTGCTTAGGATTGTACTGGTTTACCCAAGAGTAAGTCTCATTGAATGCATAGGTTTATTGCAGCTTTTGTTTTTTTTTAAAAAATAATATTTATTACTTTTAAACCTTACAAAAAGGAAAAAAGAAAAGAAAAAAGAAAAGAAAAGGAAAAGCAAAAAAAAACAAACCCCAATACAGTACAATATATAAACAATACACAACACAACATTAACATTAACACATTAAACAAAACAAGAACAAAAACAATTCAAAAAACACACATCATACCATCTCAATATCCTCTCTTTCATTCCCTTGTTTCATCGACCTCCTCTCACCTCCCTTTTTGTATTTCATTTCTATTAATTATTTCAGCAAATCCTTTCCATCTTTCTCTATTTTCTGTCATGTGATTATCTTAACATATTTTAACCTTATTTTCCATTAATACTATAATACTTACTTATGCTTAATTCCTTAAAACATTTCTACTAAAGCCATATTCTACTAAAGCCCTTCCAACATTTTTCTAACACTCATTAATTTTACATTATTTCCATATATAGATTTTAAACTTTTTCCAATATTCTTCCACCGTCTCTTCTCCCTGGTCTCGGATTCTGCCAGTCATTTCCATCAATTCCATATAGTCCATCAACCTGGTGATCTTCTGTCCGAGGCTCTTAACTCTTTTCCAAGTCCCTTCTGCAAGTCTTCTTCATATTTATACATGCACTTTACTTTGTCTTCTCCTGATCTTGTTCTTATTTTCCTTCCTTTGATGCTAAAAAGTAGATCTCGGGGAAATTCCCATCTAGCAATGTTTTTATTCCCCGCGAGTAGGGCAGGCGCCAGCCGAATCCCACGTCCACAGGCTTCTCTCGCCTGTGATTTTTGGTGAGTCCCCGCCTTCGCCATGGCGGCCAGACCCTAATTTCCACGAAGCAAATTCCTCCCGATCAGAGGAGTTCAACCATTACGGGAGGCACTAACCTGGAAGTCCCGGTTTATTGCAGCTTTTGAACCAGATTCTTTGTTTGTTCAGGAGTAAGAGTACAAACCTAATCCCATTTACCTGGCAGTATGGCCCTTCAAATTCAGTAGGACTTACTTTTGAGTAGATTTAGCTAGGATTATATTGCAACACTTGTTTACATACTCACTTAATATGTCACTTACCTGCCCATTGTATGCCCTTAATCCTGCTTAGAAAGAAGAATCATTCAATCATCAATCAGTCAATCAATCAATCAATCAATCAATCAGTTAATGCCATTCACTCAAATGTCAGTTTAGGGCAACAGTAAACAACTCCACAAAAAGAGGTTTGTGGAGGAAAGGGAGGAGAAAAGAGGGATGCTGGTACCCTCCTGGAGCTGATCCTGCTGCCGGTGATCTTGAGGAGCCAGACATTCCTGTTCCAAGGCCAGAGGTCCTGACATCAGTTGCTTGATTTCCTGGTCATCCCCAG